TGCTTATAGATCAGTTACTTACTCTGCCTACACATGTGACACTTGACCATTTTACTGTGAAAATGACCTAGTAGACAGTAATTACGATAAACTAAATAAAAAATATTGCAAAAAGGTTATAACGGTAATTTTCTCTTTTTAAACTATGTAAATATGGAATTAAAAAAAACTTTCCAGCGTTTTATTTAAAGACGTGTTATTTTTTTAAACCAATAAAAAGTGTTCTTTTTTTAAATGATGATACTAATTATTATTGTGTTCTATTTTTGACAAAAAGAGCAGACGGACATTGTGTTCAGTGAGTGCAAACGCTCATAGAAATAATTTTGTTTCAATCTTCATTATTCCCGCAGGTTTTTTGGTAGATAATATTACCCTCAGATTTGATTATACTAAGTGTGTGTTTGTTTTAATGAATAAATTTAGTATTTCTTGGTAGTTGTTTTCCTTGTGAATGTAGATTTTGGAACGAACCCTACCTTTAGTGACGGACAGTTTGACAGACTATTTTGACGTTTCAAAAGACTGCATGTGAATTGTGATGTTTTATTTAAATAAATATTTTATATTATATGACAATCGAGCCTTATGTTTATTTTTATTTTCTATCCTGCCAGGATCGATTAGTGAAGACAGATTATAGAGTACAGCGAGCATTACCTTTTGGTAGTTTGTGTTAATACCTAATAGGACTAAAGGATAGAAATATTCTACTTTAGATCGTGACAACGTCAAATTTTTTCATCATCTAAAATGAGCCTAAGTATAATTATACTTGATAGTATTACCTGATGGTAAGCAACAACAGAGAAGTTACGAGTACGTTCCCTGCTTTTTGGGCATTGCGAAGGGATGGCAGGAGGGGAAGGATTGAGCCTCCAGTACATACCCACATGGCGAAACACAACGCTCCGTTAGTTTAACGCCAGTGTGTTGTGACCAATCACGTCGAGCGGACCCATTCGTGCCGAAGTGTGGCTCTCCTATACCAGATTTCACCGGATCTCTAAATTTAAATCACGATTTTACAATTAATCAGTCATAGTCACGTGGGCTCACGCTAACAAGTCAACTGCTCATCATAATCACAATAAAACATCACGACTCTCGTTTTAGAAAAAAAAACTAGCAAAAATCAAAAAAAAAACTACAAAAAAAAGACAATCGATTCAAACTTTTTTTTATTATCCTTTGTTATCTTGGAACCTGTGAACGTTATATGCCTGAACCTGTCTACGTAGGAGAGGTTTACAAGCAAGCCTGTACTGAGAATTAAGATAATAATATAATAGAAGTGTTAGGACTCGACCACATTATGTATTGGGATTAAAATGTTCAATAGACAGCAGGAAATTACTGTCAGACCCTCCTTGGCAACCTAGGGCTAAAAATGGCAAATATGAGTAAGTTATAACCACGTAACACCCAAAGTATGTTTAATTAATGTTTAGATACAAAAATCAATGCCACTTTTCGTTTTAATGTTATAACTCAACAATGACTTTACAGATTTGGAAAATTTTGGAAGTCTTGAATTATTCCAGAAAAGGTTTGTGTTGTGTTTTGACCGCTAGTTTAACTATAAAAAACAAAAGAAACGACCCTTATATTAACATAAGATTTTCCTAAAAGGTAAACATATTAAATCCACCTTATTATTTTTCAAAATTAAATACAAAATATTGTCCTTTGTAATTGTAAAATCTTAATGAATTAGTCATATTTACCGACTTTTACTAACCTTCTTCGCACAACATATTCTGATATTTATTTAAATAGGTAGGTACATTCTAAGTTTTATAATATACAAAAATGTCTGGTGTGAGTAAAAATTAACACCTTCATTACAATAATTTCGAAAAAACAATGAGAATTCTATAAACGTTTGACAAGAATACTAAGGCCGAAGTTGACAATATTATAAAATCCAAATTCAAAAGGTTCACAGTTATTGCTATAACACACTTTTATGTTGTCCAAGAGTATAATAAAACCAATAAAACTAGCAATTATGTTGTTCTTTATACTATACGAAGTAAGAATATAATATATGTAAATTCGTACGACATGACATCGCACGTCCTTAGCTTCATAAAACCTTAGTAAATTAAAACCTTATTTTAAGGACACTGGCCATTTGCACATTCTAAATTTAAACAATTATGACTATTCGATAAATCTTTTGTGGATTAATCACATACAGCCAAACTAACTGTGATACAATTATAACACTCTATACGGAAATATGAAAACGAATGCGAATTCCTTTTGGACCATACATAGTTCTGAAAATATTGAAACAAAATTAGAGAAATGTGACTAATCGGATGATGACTAACATTATACTGAAGAAATCCTATGAAATAGAGATGAGATGAATAAAAAATATACCACACTGGATCTTGCACACCCATCCTAACTCTTAGTGTAGGAAGGACAACCCTGTACACGAAATATTAAATATGATTCAACAATTGCAATGAACATAAAGCACATTTTTCTACCAGTCAAGGTCAAAGATCCTCGTATCCAGGCAATTCTCACAAGTGGAAAGGTCAAATTTTATAATGTTGCTTAGTGTATTAGATGGTCCTTTGATGTCACAGAGGAAGTACTTTAGCACTAGTTTTGCACTTCAACAAACAAACAGCCTTGAATTGTTATCTTAATCGTTACAAGCAACCCACCCTAGGTCCACTTTGGGTGCAATTCTGATATAAAATGTTTTAGTCGGTTATTTAATGAATGTATAATACAAAATTTACACATATAAACTTTCCTGATCAATCAATTTAAAAGATGATGATGCCCAATTTTAAAGATTTAAGCATACATAGGGACAGAGAAAGCGATGCGATGTGAGCAACTTTATACTATGTAGTAATAATTTTTGTCAGAAGAGCATCTATATTACTTCTGACTGGACCGATGGCCATACTCTGCCAGCGCGTACCGAAGGAAGAAGGTACCTACCTCTTTTAATGGTAGGTACTTAAAAGACACACAGCAAATTGCCCTCTTTAAAATTGAGATTGTTAATTCAGCCAAATTAGAATAAGGCACAGGACTATTCCGAATAAAATCTAGGAGAGCATACCGTTGTTTTTTTTACAAAGCTGGACAATTGGTTGGCACCAAGAAAAAAGGAATTCTGATTTTAAAGGTTATTTTTTATTTTTTCATAACATGTATATTGTATATCCAATGATATTTAGAAATATAGATAGCAGATGAGGCCGAGATGAAAACTTTTTAAATAATGTTTTTAAATCGGAGGCTGATTGTCCAGTATTTTATTTCACAAATAGCGATTATCAGTTTTCGACTGCACCGAAGGCTTGGTTCGTTTATACCGTCAGAAGCCATTCAATTGGCTATAACCATAAAACGGAATAGACTTTGCCAATTTGACCTGTTCTTTCTAACGGATATAACATAACATTTGACTAACACTAACTCTTTTCTGCGGTTCCACGTGCATATTCTGGTCTTAAGATTAATTTTATCTGAGAAATAAAATTGTTGCTGTCACTGTCTTATAAAAACATTCTGACGCGACAGCGTCATAATTATTCCCCTAGTAACTTTTATCTAACCATTAAAAAATCAGCCTTAAATTTGAATTTAAATAAAGAATGCGAATATAAATATCGTCCATTAGTTTCATTTAAGTTTTAACTTTAAAACAACAACACGAGCTGACATAGTTAACAAATACTTTTTACCTGTATTTGTCCTAGAAAAAATATTCGTTCTTAGAAGTACGGAGTGAAGCAAGCTATTAGACCATGTTTACCTTGTTTTAAAACATGTACGTTACGTTCGAAGTATGGATCATTGGCTATTTAGACCGATATGGGTCACATCGCAAACCAAACTTGATTATACGTAATCATTATTGCGAAACCGAGGTCTAGTGATAGTTCGGGGTATTGGTATTTTATTTAGTTTTAAGAAAAGTTTGTATGCCGTGTTCAAGAGTTTAGACCTGCAAATAATATACAATAGGATAAGTAGTCCGTGTTTTGTAGGTGGTCTCAAAATTAGGAGCCTGCTTCTCACGCATGCGGGCACGAATCCACACAAGTGCAACTGTGACTTTTTTCGAGATATACATATATACAATCTGATTAAAAGTTTTAAATCGCTAATCCGTCTTGACAAGCGTGGTGATTATGGCTCATTGCTTCTCGGTGTGAGCAACGATGTCTTTTTGGCAGATGATTTATAAAATAACATTTTTTTTTTTTGATATTTCGAAATTGATTTTCCAATCCGCCTTAAGCAAGAGAAGTGATTAATGCTCAAATCTTCTCCGTGCCGTCTCCAAGAGGCCTTTGTTTAGCAGTGGGCAAATATAAGCTGATGATGTGATCTGAGTGATGTTTCGTGACCTTGGCTTAATTATAATTTTAATGCCATTTAATTATAAATAAACCGTAAAACCTGTCGCCTAAAGAATAGAGTTGAAATCATTTTTTGGTACCGCAGAAAGAATTTTAGAAAGCTCATCTAAGTAATTTATAAAGACACATATGAAGCGTGTCATTAAGCCTGTATAATAATCTCATAAACTGGAGGGCTTGCACTCAAAAGCCCGTATGAAAACACTAGAGGAAAGATGTCACAAAGGAGAAGTATCTAGTTCCTTCTACGAGTATACAGCCACTTGATCACGTACTATGTATCCAAGCATATCTATAAATAGACAAATATTTCCCAATTCAATTCAGTAATTTCTTTTAGTCGTAAAAGTCCATAGATTAGATAACAAAGAACTTTTTGACGAAACTCGTGTCTGAACTCCCACAATCAGGACCACTTTAGTAAATCGTCACCATAATGGATCAGGTAACGTAATACATTTCGAAAGAATCAAGAGAATACGTAGAATTCCACTAACAATGATACGACGAAAAAAAATTGTGTGACAAAGTTCATAGACTCCTCTCCCGTCTCATAAAGGATTAGGGCGCAGCGGGAAGCGGTAAGTGGAGGTGGTCCTTATCTGAGACTGTTTCAACAGCACAGTCGACAGCGTAGTGGGGTACTCGCGCGCCACTACTTCGCGCTCTATCGCGACTGACGCAAGCCGCGCCCGCGCAACACGACCGCTACTTTCAAACGAGCCATTTTCGATATTCAACTTTTAAAAATGTATTCGAATGAAGTGAGGTGAATCGATTAAAACTGTTCAGTGATTATTTAAGTGCAAATTAAATACAAGTGTTTTGGAACAAATTTTTGTGAAGGATTTATTTTTGTTAAGGAGCAACCCTTTACAAATTCAAGGTAATTTTCGTTGTTTTGTTATTTTAAGTTGTTGCGGCAACAGTGACGGTGTCGTGGCGAATTATTGCAAGTGCAGTTTCGTTTTGCGGCTACCTATTTGCAACATACGTCGTCAGAATGTCCGGTTTAAATCGGACTTTCTCGCGGGTACCTATTTTGTGAGGAGGTCCTAACCTAAGAAACGTTATATTTAAAACAATGGTGGTAATTTAAACTTTTTATTGTATTTGCGTATATAGAGGTCCAGCTGTGATCACGGATTTAAAGATATAGTTAATATTGTGGACACTACTTATTCAAGACATTTTTTACATAAGGTCGGTACAAAAAAAAATTTGACGTTAGAAAATCTTACAGAAACTATCTACGTAGGTATATGTTTACCATACTTTAACATGGAAATTTAAAAAAAAATACGAGCTAGGATGCGCCAGATGTCATCATCCGAATATTTTTCTACCAAAAAGTTCAATTTTAAAGTTGAATGTCAATTCCGACATCGTTAATTTAAAAAAAAAGAAAAATACAAAATTGAATTACCCACCGATGAATTAATTTTGAAAATCGAATTTACTAAAGAATACCAAGAAAATATTATCAAATTGTTATTATGCAATGCAATAAGTCAAATGGAAGGTGATTATTTAATAGTCTGATTCAGTTTAATCATTGTTGATTTGTCATGGTTTGATACTTTCTTTTGATGTTCAAAGCGTTTGTATAGTAAAATACATTACCGTATTGTATGGGCTGATGAATAAGTAAGTCTTTTACGAAGAATGTCACCGACTTTATGCTTTAATTCATAAGTAGGGTGCGCAAATTTACCCATTATATGTATCTTTGTGTAACTAGTGTAATGTGTTTGCGCATTCACTTTTTGAAGTTGTTAATGCTGAGGAAATATGTAGTAGATTTCGTATTATTTCTCAACATGGTCATAGAATTGGGTTATCTTTTGTTTTTGGAAGAAGATCTCTGTCTTAAGGCTTAAATCGTCGAATATTACAAGTAGAAAGGGGGACTGTTTGACCTGTAATTCATATAAATTCTCTGTTAACTTTTACAGCAAAAATTTCTAAAAATTAAGTCATATTTGTAACTTATTGATATATCTAAGCATTTTAAAATGGTTCCAGACGCTCTGTTCTTCTTTAAAGATATTTAAATTTTAATCGTGATACATTGAGGATGAAGTTGTTGAGTTTACGTATAAATACTATAAAAATAAACTAGTAGATAATAAAATATTCAACGAGTAACTATTATTTCTTGAACAGATACTAAAGATACTTACGTGTTATATGATTTTCCTTCTCAAACTCATGTTTACAAAGATATCTAAAACGACTGTGGGAAAATAGACTATATTGATCTTATAAATATTATCATACCACATCTATCAACGTCAATTTTCTCAAGTGCACCGTAATTGATATACAGGGAAAGTGCTTGAGAAATTCTGAGATCACACTTCGAGTATATACAACCCCAGTGGTAGTAAGTTGAAGTAATTTCATATTTTATTTGACATGCCGTAATTTTATGACTTAAATCACTGAACTTTTCTCCATTATTTAATAGATGTTATTATACATATACACCTTCCTCTCCAATCACTCTATTAAAAACCGCATCAAAATCCGTCGCGTAGTTTCAAAGATTTAAGCATACATAGGGATATAGGGACAGAGAAAGCGACTTTGTTTTATACTATGTAATGATGATAAATTATCATCAATTATTATTAGCAATATTTTATCAGTTACACAAGCCAAATCTTTTGTTATTGCTCGTCAGCTCAGTAGTCGAAACATCGTGGTACAAAGACATTTGATCGACTAGGTAGCAGGACAAAGCTTACTGTCTTTGTACTGTACAAATTTTTATTTTCTTATCTGTGCTTATGACAAATTCTTGAGCTGACCATAATTGTACGTTTGTCAATAGCCAAGCCGATACGAGTTAAGTGAAGCCGAGACGACACATTTCTTGTTAATTTTAAAACGAAAACTTCGTAGAACGTGACCGTTAAAAAACGACGCAATTATCTTTTTCTTGCTCAAAAATCAAATTTTGCGGAGGACGATTTCGACATTGAAAAACGAATTTTTGTATTTCTTATAAAATAAAAACTTTCACTCTCCGACATTTTGATTTGAATGCTAAATTTAATAAATATTTTTTTCTTCATAAGTAATGTAGCACAAAAATACTAAAATTATGTAAGAAGCTTTAGTTACGTGCTTTTTCTGAGTCACAGTCTTCAACATCAACAAATGTCTCAATTATCTCACTAAATCGGTCTCTGGAGTCGCCATTTTAGCAAAAACACGTTGTTCCTGATTGTGTTAGAGATACGTAACACAGGTGGAAACTAGATATGAAATCTGAGATCACACTGTGTAGTTTTATCCCATCAGTTAGATCATAGAGAAAGTAGGTGATGCTATGATCGTGTGAACAAATCCGCAAAAAAAAACAATAGCAACCATAGCGTTCCACTTTTAAAAAGTTGAGTTTGATGTGTTCTTTTATTAAATAATTTTCTTTTTCTTGTATACCACCTACTTAGGTTCTTATAAAAAAATATATTGATGTGGGTTGTCAGCTTTTTTAATAAACGACTTTAAGGTTCAAAATGGTGGGAAATTTGATCATGCATCGAAATAAATTTTGAATAAACATTATCTGTTCTTTTGGGACAACAAGGTATACGCATCGTTATTTTTTTAAAACTATGTTACTACTGAATTCTCTGTGTAACAGAAACGGAAATATGTGCGACGACATAATTTATTGCTTTACATTATTTTTCTTATATTTAACAACAATCATGGGTGGAAATTATTAATGTTTTACAAGTAATGTTGCAAACACAAAAATTTACTTCTTCCACCGTTTACTTTGTGAAAGAAGAATAATATATTTTTGCCCAATCCAAAAATAAGTTCAGGGGATCTTTTTTGAATACAAGATAATAAATTTAAGACTTTACTTGCCAAAAAGGCAAAAAGCAAAAACGTCGGCCAGTCGCTCGCAGGTAACCACGTGCTTCGTTGCCACCCTTAAATTCGAAAAAAAAAATACAAATGCTTTTTGTTCAGCAGGTACCGGCCATTTAAAACATCGTAGCAAGTTATCTGTCGATTCGAACCGAGTGCAAAAATATAACAAAAAAAGAAAAAAGGACTCTCTTGTGTAGAAATTAGAGACGCTATCGACTGAACTGTAAAGTTTGTGGTGCAGGTGACTTTTTAAAATAGATACATACAGGTGTAAGGACTGAGGGTAGGTTTTTCTCATGATCGCATATGGGGATTCCCCCGGTGTAAGTCTATATATTCTCAATTTGAAATTAAAATTCCTTTTTAATCGATTTGTACATTGACTTGGTACAAATAAAAAAAAATTAAATAGTAATCAGACGACCCTTAATATTAATTCCTTCTTCGTAGCCATATGACTTAAATAGAATGCAGATAAGGAATAGAATAGAATATCATTTATTTCAAAGTATATGGTACATTGAGGTTTTACATTAAATGTTATTTCACATACACTACCATTGCTGGTGTAGAAATATTTTGCTAATCATGCTTTAAAATGAAAAAAAAAGGTAATTATAATAATAATTATAATGTCAAGCAAATTGATAACAAAAATTTAAAAAAAAATGTATCAGTAAGTATATGAGAGTAATTAGAAGTAACAATATTATTTGCGTCAAAATGGTAAAATATTAATTATAATGTCAAAAGCTAAATACAGTGTCAATACTCATGTCAAAAAAAACGTGTACTCTCACAATACTAAACTAAAATGCTAAACACAATATGAATCAATGTAAAAATACTAAATACAATGTGAAAATATTAAATAAAATGTCAAAACTTGTGATTTAAAAATTCATTAACAGAATAGAAGCACATCTCTAGAAGCCAAGTGAACATTCGATTTTTAAACTTACTTATTGGTAACATTTTCAAGTCAGGTGATAATTTATTATAAATTTTAATTGCCATACAATGTACATTACTGCTGTATAAATGCAATCTCTGTCTAGGTGCCTGTAGTTTTCCAGGATTTTGTTATTTAACCTCACAGAGATCTGTTCATTTAAAGGAAATAAATGTGGGTACTTTTTTACAAAAAGACAAATTTCAAAAATGTATGAGCATGGCAGAGGAAGTATTTTTAGTTCCTTGAATAATGGTCTGCAATGATCTAAATATTCAGCGCCACTTATAGCCCTGATACATTTTTTTTGCACTATAAAAGCTCTTTGCACATCTACTGAGTTGCCCCATATCACTAAACCGTATCGCAACACCGATGAAACATAACCGTGATAGGCGTTTAAAGCTGTGTCTTTACTGGATACTAACCTAAGCTTTTTTAGGGCAAACACAAACTTATCCAACTTGTTGCACACTCCTTCTATATGTTCTTTCCAGTTAAGTTTATTGTCAATTACAATACCTAAAAATAAAGCCGACTGTACTGGTTGTAAAACTGTATTATTATGTCGTATTGCTGTCGGTATTATTGTTGAGTTACATGTTTGAAATTTAACTAGTTTTGTTTTATTAATATTTACTTTAAGATTATTGTCTTCTAACCATTTCATTACATTTGTCAATTCATTATTAGTTTCATTTTCCATATCCGTTTTATCTAAACATTATACATATATACAGGACTTAGGACGCCTAGGATATAGAAGTAGAAGGTGTTTTGAATGTATGACTGTAAACTGTCTCAAGAGTGATGGATGGTATATTTTACGATTCTCTTTGAGAACGACCCTTTGACACTCTTTGTATATATTAACTAACTATGTATAATATATCTGCTCGGTGTTCCTACGTCTGACATTTTAATCCTTAATCCAATTTACCGAATAAAACTTATTTTATTGATTCAACTCACCCACCTCCTCGGCCATTGATTTTACTTATGTTCCCAAATTGTATTGGAAATAACAATATTGTATTTTA